TAGTTATCTGAACTCTTCCCTTCCTCCTCACACCTCGAATCACACTGCTCTTCTGTTGCATATTAGCCTTGCTCTGGAAGACCTGTATATCTTGTTAAGGCTATCTATTTAGCTAAAAACCAGAAGAGCAAAATAACTTCTATTTTAGTCTATTTTAAGTCATGTATTTTTACTCGGTAAGTTAGTTCCAAATTGGGTGGAGGACAGTGAAAGACATATCTTTAAGGAGTGTTAGGTGGCTAATGAGAGTAAAAATTGCAGCTGTAGAGCAACGATGGTAAGTTGGAAGAGCTGGGACTACAAAATTCGTATTTAGCATAGTTGTGGAGTGAATGCTTGTGTTTGAGACACTTGATATGCAGTTAATTGTACTGCAAGTAAATCACTAACGTTTAGGTGATGCTCTACAGATGCAGAAAACAGTGTGATCCCTACACTAAAGAGTTGTATTTGGGATACTGAATTGTCTAAAAACAAAAGAAAAACACCTAGCAATGCAATATGATCTAGGTATCCCTGTCAGAAATACCCCGTCCTGGCCATGTGCTTCTTTCATTTTCTGTAAATGTGTGAATAGGTTGGTATCTGTAAGTCTGGAGAATTTTAAGCATCAGTGCGAGATGTGCTGGCATCTGGCAATTCCAGCTTCCTTGCTAAGAGTTTTATCTTCCTGTTTCATCTTTAAATGCTGAAATATAGTTGTGCAGCCTTCCGTCTGTGGCTGTAACGCATGAGAGAGTACAAAGTACACTACAGACTGTTTTTGTGTGCAAACCACTTCTGCAAATCTTGAATGCTGAATCCAGGTGATTTGTGGTACAGTAGACATCAGACTTTAATGTTGATCTTTCATAGTGCATAAAGAATAACGACAGATTACAAACTGAAGCAATAGTTTTTGCTTATATCCTTCTGAATTTGACTGCACATTGCTAAACTGGAGAGAGGTAACGGCCATATAAAACCACATTCAACACCTTCCCTGACATAAGCGGCCAGATTTATTACGCTTACCCAAACGCGGAGGTAAAAACACTGATCTCATTGACGATATTTTGAGTTCAGCCAGGTGTAGTGGGTGTTAGGCTCCGACCCAGCACTCCTAAAACAGGCTGTCCACGCTAGGGGAGTGGTGGGCCAGCGATCCAGGGGTGCGCCAGCGATCCGCCCCAACCGGCCGCCGTTGCGGTGGTGGAGAGCGGCGAGGTGGAGAGGGGTTGTTACGGCAGGGAGGGCGTCCTCCAGCCTTTGCGGTGAACCTGGTACCCTTGCAACAGCTAGTGAAAGCGCTTGACCTGAAGAAATCAGGTGGCTGGAGGGAGGACTGCTCCACAACTAGTGCCTTATTTTAGGTCCCCCCGTAGAGCCCCAGTGGTATTTTAAAGACGAAGAGTGTGCTAAGGCAGGAGGATTCCTTGTGTCTTATTTCTGTTATCTCAATATAGCTCCAGTGGTATTATCAAGACAAATAGTATGCCAAAACTTAAAAGTGAACATATGTTTATGGGGGTGGTGGGGAATACGAAGGTCACTGTTGTTTCTTTCTAGTCAGAGAAGACATAATGGGGCCTGTTTTAGATAAATTAAGATTTGGAGCTAAGCTCTTGTCAAGACTACGCTGGTGTAATTATAAGTTGACTTCTTTCTGGGTGCCTCAAGTTTTTAGAGTTTAATAAAAATGTTCAGCAAGAGTTTTATCATGTAGTTTAACTGTTTGAATGTGATCTGGTTGCAACTGATCCTTGGTGGCTCCTGAACCAGTTTTACTTTGAGCTGAAAAATTTTCAGTGAACTTCCAAATATTTATTTGCATGTCACTTCAGTGCACTGTTTCCTTTGTCTCTGGACTTAATTTGTATTTTGCTGTTTTTATGTCCTGTTTTCCCCCCCATATATCCTCATTTCCCAACGTAGTTGGAAGCTGCCATACTTAATTATTTTTTACTCCAGTTAAAGCTGTCATGTTTTTCTTTTTTTCTTTCCTTTTTTAATAGAACTTTAAACCAGGCGGTTTGATTGATTTTTGTTAAACTACTTAAACATAAAAAATCTTGCTGCCTGGTGGAATTGTTTGGGATTCTGGTTCTGAATTTAGAAAAAAGAATGTGCGAATGTTACTGTGATTTATGAAGGGCCTTCGTCAGAAAGTCTCTGATCTCCTTGCTATATGTTGTTTAAATGTTGCTTTAGATTTCAGTCACTATATAATGGGTGAGGAGTGAATGAACCTTACCTTTTGTGATATTAAGGGAGAATAGAAGTACAAACGCCCTGTACTAAAAATGTGGAGAACTGTGATAGGAAAACAAATTCGTTCAGTGATTTCATGGAAATGGAAGCCCGATTACTTTAAATGCTATGGTTTTCATAGAAGGGGCAAATGAATTTTTCAAAATACAGTACAGAATCAGTTCTTTAATGCCAATTATATTTAATAATAGTAATTTAAATTTGGCTGTGCTGTGCTGAGGAGCACTGGGAGAAAATTGTATGTGGGAATGTTAACGTCCAGAAGCCTAACATATGGCATGCTTTGGCCTTCAAAGTCTTTTTTTATATACCCATGAAATACCTGAACTGCTGAAGTCTTTCTAATGGCTGCCCTCTCTTTTGTCATCTGTGCAATAATGTTGTCTGATACCCTGATTTACACTGTCCTGGGCTTTTCTGGCTTTGGCAGTTTGTTCCATATACCAATTTCACATAGTCTTTGTGCAAAAATGTTCCGTCTGCGTTACTGATGTGCTCATCCCCTAATGAGCATCAGTCCATCTGTGATTGCTTGAGTTCAAATTAATAAATGGGTTATTCGCAACCATCAATCCCGTGCTCTCCAGCACGGCACTTGCCCTGCGAGATTCCAGTGCCTCTCCATAGCCTTTCTTGGTAAACTGTAAAGGACAAGCATGGCCAGGGATCTCTGCAGAATTTATATCTGCTCTCCAGATCCTCAGTCATTTTGCCCTCTGCTGCTTGCTTATCATCTTCCCAATACCTTTTTTTCTTTTTTTTAATTGATAAGAATAACTTAGAAGTAGGCCAGGTCTCAGTTATGCCAGCGTCATTTGCTACACCTCCACTAAGCTACATACGTTAATCCAGATTTTTAGGAATGCAAGTGAAATTGGAATTTGGGTTGTTTCTCTAAATACAGGCTTGCATGGTGTTAAAATAACTCGTCTCTTTACAACCTCTCTCAGTATCTCAAGATTTCCTGGCTGCTGCCAAACACTGTGCAGATGCTTTCAGTGTCCTTATTTTCCTCCCTGACCCCTCCCCTCGAGCCTTTTCGTGGTTTAGACATCGTGCTTGTGCTTCTGTGCAATTTCTGCAATTGTCCTTGTCCTTTAGTTTTCTGGCCTTAATCCTCGCCGTAATGATCTCTGCAAGTCACTTATCAGCCGTAAGACTAATCTATAGCAGTCACGTGGCGTTTCTGCGCTCTGCTCCTGCGCGCTGTACGTCTCGCTCCCTCCATTATTTTAATCATCCACATTGTCGGCTTTTTTCCCAAATCCTTCCCTTCCCCCGAGTTGTTTTCGTACGAAGTAAACACAAGTGGCACCAAATGTGACCCCGCAGCACCCTCCTGCTTATCTGTCCTCCTCCCTTGGCCGCTTCCTTTCCCGGCACCCTCCGTTTCCCGTGCCAGGGGAGTTTGCAGCCCGCTCTCGCAGGGCGGCTTCGTCGCGCGCTTTCTGATTCTGCAGATCTCACTCTCGGCTAATCAAAGATCAGATACTTTCCTGCACTACAGATACAGTAAACTCTGTCCATTGTTTGTGCCTTATCTACCGAATCAATAATGTAGTTAAAGAATTCAAGGACGTTTTTCAGACGGGACCTTCCTTTTTTAGTACATGTTGACGCACGCACCTTTCAGTGGTTTCATAATATTAACTGCTTTGCAAATGCCCAGAAGAATTGATATCGGGCCTTCGTATCCGTAGTTCTTCGGATGCTTCTTGACTTTTTATTAAAGTATGGGAATGATAATCTCCATACTTTTAGTTTCCTGACCTCTGTTGGAGAACTTTGTCAGACTTCCCCTTTTCTGTCTGTGCTGTGGAGTATGAATTCAGTGGAGCTGGCCTTGGGTTGGTTTGTTTGCTTTTTGTCAACGTGCAGTAATTATAAATCCTCTGTTATCTAGCACAATCGGAAAATAGATGTTTGGAGGGGGGAAAAAAAAAAAGTACCGGAATAAGTATTTCACTCTGAGCTATAAAGCTGCCTTACCTTCGCGAGTGACGTTTAGGAGAAGCTGGGGCTTCTCAATAGGCTGGGGGAGGTAGGATTTTCCCTCTCCTGGGCACACAGCACGGGTTATGACCCGGTGAGAGCAGAATCTGGCCGTAAGGGTCTGTCCTAAACTCGTGACTGCACGACAGTTCGGCCTTTCGGAGTCTGTACCCGTGCTTTGCTGGAAAACGTCTTTGCAAGTAGCAGAGTGACAAGTACTTAGTGCTTGTATCAGGGAGCACCAGGAAAACAGACCGCGAGGATTTCCGAGGGACTTGATGGAAATAAGAAATACATTTGCTGCCCTAACGGTTGAGGGTGACATCAGGAGCGTGCACTGTTCCCGTTCGTTGTGTTAGATCTTAACGAGTGGTAAAAAAAAAAACAAACAAAAAACCAGTTATTGAGGAGAAAACCTGTCTTTCAAATAACCGTGCTCTTTATAAAGATTCTTTATGAAGCCTCATAATAGACAGCAGTACTCATAAAAATACTGATGCTTGCTGTTGCGCTGAAGCAGGATTTCAAATAACTTTTGGCATAAACACTCCAGAAATACTGTTATAAGGCTGCTTTTATAGGAGCTGTACACGGGGAACTCAGGTCCCCTTTTTATATATTAACTGTTTTTATAGGAGATGTACGTGTATTGAAAATGAAGTACGTGTATGAAATGTATTCATTTATTTTTATAGCTGTCAGTATGAGACTTTTATTGGGACAAGTCTAAAGCCTTCTTTTCTCATCACCCATTTTAGATTGACGCATTGGGTAAAAGAAGCAAAGAAGCAGAGGCAGCCTTCTTGAATGTGTATAAGAGATTAATTGATGTTCCAGGTAAGCGAAGTGTTACCTTATTCTGAAAATCTCCTGATTTCTCTTGGTATGAAAGCTACTGGGAATTTTTTCTACCTTTGCTAACTGATACATGGGTAATTTTTTATTCTGAAACCAATAGCTCCAGTGTTGTTTCTAAAAGGAAGAACCGTAAGGCACCTCTTAAAACCGTTCATTGAGTTTCGATTTTAATTTCTGTGTAAATCATTTTATATTTAATTGTTACAATACTGTATGTATGCTTCTGAATAATTCATTTTTTAGGAGGTTCACAGTTTTTTGAGAAAGAAGATACAGCTTGAAGTTTCATCAGCAAGAGGCAATCTTTGTACTTTTAAAGGGCAGAGAGAGTTTTTCATACCTTCACGTAAAAAAGCCTCAGTAGTTACTTGCAAAGGCCAGGTGCTCTCTTGCCATTCGGTGGTGAAAAGGAGAAGCGTTTTGGGTACTGCCAAGTAAATCGCTACCACGTTTCAATTCTGTTCAGCGTCAACATGATCACAAGTTTTAAACAAAGGCACTTCATGGATGGGTTTTAAACTTTCCTTTATGCTTGGCATCACGAGGTTCCAGATCATTTCTTTTCACATTTTGGGAGCTGATTTTTTTCCCCCATATTTTTTACATTTTTTCTAGAGAGAGTTTTTTTTTTTTTTTTGCAGCGTTGCCCAAAGATGACTGGGAGTTAGCAATCCAAGACTTCATTTCCAACTCCTGCCCTGACTGAGCTGTAGACGCATGGCAATGTCTCTGTATGGTTTTATCCTTTTATAAGAAGTCTGTAGTGTATCTCTCTATGTACATATTTTCTATTCAAAATACTTATTTCAACAGAGGATTTGAGGTATAACTAATCCTCTAAGGGCTTTTAAGTCCTTGTTGCAAAGTGCACGCTACCTTTTACTTGTTTTACATTTTACAAAGTGCTTTTCATGCACATTTCAACTCAGAATTATTTTTGGTTTTGATGCTTTGCTTACACCGTAGCTGGCTATAAGGACAGCGTTTTTCTGATGCCCAGGCAGAGCTAGCATAAGCATATTTTTAAATTTCACGTTTGTAATAGAGTAGTGCCCAGTGGCCAGTACCTGCTGTGTGAAGTGCGGCATATCTAGAGGGATACAGAGACTCTTCCATACTCATCCTAGATAACCAGTGCTGCAGAAATGATGGCTGTCAGGTTATTCAGCTAAGCTGCGAGCTTTCTGAGGTGTCCGTACTGACGCTGCCCCGCGTGCTCCTTCTGCTGCGCTTTGAGGGGTGAGGACGTCTGATCTGTAGTGGTCTGTTTTATTTTCACTACTGAGTACTGGTGTAAAACCAGACTGGAGTGAGGTTACTCCCATCGCCTTGCGCAGGGGCTTTCTCTGAAGCCTTGCAGCTTCGCAGGCACGCGAATCTGAACAGCAGAGTCGGGCTGAAGCCTGGTGGAGGAGGTAGGACCCGTACTCTGCTCATGCTCCAGCATCTAAATTGGGAGAGAAATGTTGTCAGCACTCCTTTGCAGGAGAAGGAATTTTCTCTTTTCCGTCGTTTGCGAGAGCAAAATTTACGCTCGTTCGTTCACGCGCCACGATCTCTCTTGCCCTGCCTTCCCCTAAGCGTGCTTTATGTTATGTGTCAGAGAAACACTTCTTTGATGTTCTTACCCATGTTAAAATTTCAGAATGGCGGAGTTGCGAGTGTGGTGGAGTCTGTGGGGTTAGCAACATCTACAAGTTTTAGGCTCCTGCAGGCCTCGGAGTCGCTCGAAGACACACTGATGTTGTTCAAAAGCAAAGTCCAGATGCTCAAAGGGAAGACCAGCCAAGCTCTCGTGCCTATATGGAGGCATAACAAATACGCACTGTTTACAGCAAATACAGTAATGAAAATGAAAACAGTGATTAGGAACGTGTGGCCCTGGTATTTGTCACGCCAGGGTAGGGTCGCGTGAGGCGTATGCGGTTAGGGGCTTGTTTCATAGTTGTTCTCCTCTCGCAGGCTTTTATGTTGGGCGTGTGCCGTAGAGGGCTTTCCTTTATAAAAGACTTCAGCATTCATTTATCAGATGTGTTGTTTTGCCTGTGTGGGGCGTGCATATCTTCTGACCTGTCCATTTGGTATTTCAGATATTTAGGTCCGCTTTCAGCTCCAAAATCTTGCAATGTTTTCCTTTCGGTGGGAGAAGGGAGCGGTGATGTTTTGGGAAAGCTATGGCTGGAATGCCGCAGAGTGGCTAGTTAGCGTTAAGCATCACCGTTACATGACAAGGGTGCAATTTTATCAGATATTCAATATCCTTTATAGGACTATATAATAATTGCAGCTGATGCCTAATTCCCAGCAGCCAATTTTATGGTTCTTGAGGAAAGCATGTATTCCTCTCGGCAGTGATAATGTGCACGCTTTATATAATTAAAAAGGGCTTCTGTTTTAATTTTACTATAAAATTATCTGTATTGAAACTCCAGCTATGGTGCTTTATGGATGCAGCTAAGTTTAATGATTTTCTTTCCTGACTTGACCAGAATTTGCACTCAGGCTCACCAGGAAAGAATTTGTGAGAAGGGTAGTGTTTTGCTTGTAAATGTTCCTGTATACAGCAGATGTTATTCTCCTTAAAAGATAAAGTAGACCTTTCAGTATATCTCTGCATTTTTACATCGGTTTTAAAAGAGCGTTGGCATTGGTTTGTGCTGGAATATATATCCTTCCTAAAGGAAAGCACGTATCGCAGAAAATACTGTGTTTTATGTACATTTATACAGCTTTAATTCTCACTCAAATCATTCTGTCTTGCTTGAGACTGAACGTTTTTAATTAATGGAATTAATTTTCTCATTTAATTGCCTTATTTTCAGTATGCAGTAGAGATCAAGAGAAAAGTGAATGCTGCTACATGAATTGCACTAATCAACAAGGCTGTCACAACTTACCTTTAAAAATAATGTGAATGTATTTATTGTGAAGCAAAAGGAGATTGTGTCTTTATTTTGAGGAAGCTTTCCTCCTTCTGTACAGGGTTTCTTTCTGCCTGATTTTATAAAGCTAAGGGTATTGTGTTAGCACCCTTGGCTTTTAGGGTCTTAATCTTGCAAACACTTTGCGTGAAATTGGGGCCCTATTTTATAAGTGTGTGGAGGAGCCGAGCTTAAAGTGTTCCTCTGCAGAAATACTGTGTTTATAATTCCGTTTTTCTAAAGCTTTGAGAGAAAAATATGAAATGTTCAAAATATCAAAAATTAAGTATTTTTC